CATGCGCCATGAGTACCTTAGTTTAAAGGCAGAGTGATCAGCAGCTGTGGCATGCATAGGTCCTGTTTTTTTAAATGGTGTACTTCTCATTTATCAGCATCAGAAGGGAAGAAAGGCGAATTACTCTGCCAGGACTCAACCACCATCCTCCCGGTTCTGAACATGATATTCTACTGATTAAGCAACTCTTTCCTAATTGTTGAATTCAGAGTCCAGAATGATGGCCGTTACACAATGGCTCCTATGATGCTGAAATTAGCAGAAGATGGTTCGCTGCATTTGCTAGCATTGGACATGATACAACGTCATTACTTAGCGGTGAGCTGTCTATGCAAATAAAAAACGTAAAATTTTTCAGCGTTTTGTCTGAGATGATTTATGGCCTGAATACTGATACGTTAAGGTAGCTCACAGTAGAAAATTGGTGGTCACACAAACGGCGATATAGGTAAAAATGTCTAACGTCACAATTGGCGTTGTAAATTCACAAGTTTCACAACCGGACTGTGGCAATGGATGCTCTTAGCCATTTGAAGATGGGTTGGCGCTATATGACTCACATCAGGGGCTCGCAGTGGACATTAAGAATTACGATTATGATCCCACTGGATCATATGATGTGATTCCACTGTTATATGTTCATCATATGATTCTACTACGTTCGACCAATCCTTCTGAGATATACCCGGATGGTTAAATTACTTTCCAGCGATAGAGGCAGAGAGCGTGAAACATTAGGATTTGAGGATTTCGTCGGCAGCGCACCCAAGAATAAGGATTGGCCCTGATCAAACATAAACGATATTCAGCCAAGAAAAGTATAGCAGCTTTTGGCTATCAGAACCAAAATTTCTGTTGCGTATCACTCCCTCGTTGCCATCTTTATGATAGCTGTCGTAGTATAAAGCAATGCGAAAATGCCATTGACGAAGCAGAAGAGCAAAGGTTTGTGGCTTGAAGAATTTCCCATCATGCTAACATTATGGCTCTGTTGTATAGTATGTTTTGCTGGTTATTTATTCTTTTTGATTGAATCTCTAGTTTATGAAAACGCCTTCTATAAATCAGATTTTGCGTCCGTGGCGTAAATAGCGGGCAGCCACTAAAATACGAGACTACTATCAAAGCGACGTTCGATGGAAAATTTATTTTGCTCTTTTGCTGGAGTTGCCTTATGGGTTTGTGACAGAGGTCAGAAATTTAGTAGCAGTAACCATGTCGATTTCAGCGAAAGGAACTGATGTCCTCTAGCGGAGATCTCGTTCATTTAAAGCATAATGAGGACGCCAGGTTTCCACATGCTGATCATCCAAACGGAGCCCGACCTTGATCCTGTTGGCGTTTTAGTCGTTTTCGTGTCCACCTTACTTATGAATCATTGCCTCTTCCCCTCTTCAAAATTGCGAACATGGTACAAGTGTTTCAAGGCTACTTTTAAGTTTAGCTTGAACACTGCCTCAAATCTTTCTCTGCAGAGCGTAATTCTTTTAAGAAACGTTTCTTTTAGGACGTCTGTTTCCTCTGGTCACAGCGACTTCGTTGACCGACATTTTTCGGTTTATTACTGGTCTTTACGTCTTAGGAGAATCCATCAGCCTTACATAGCTTGTTTATACAGCCTTTTAGTTTAATCGTAAATTGAGGCAAGACTTTTCCCGGCAAAGTTAGCATTACGTCGTTTCTTTCCTAACCGTTACAGCGAACTGTTTACCACAAGGATAGCTCATAGCTGCAGTCCTATTCGATAACAAGTTTAAGAACCTGTATATACGCCACAGATATGAAAGCAGTATTAACCAGACGTGAATTAAATAGTCACCTTTTACCCAAGCTAATGTTTATTTCGAGTACTTTTTGTCATTTAGCTATTAATTTGTTTGTATCCATGGAAAGTATTATTGTTTTATACTTCTTCATGCGTAAAAGGAATTCAGCATGTCTTCTATAAGCAAAATACAAGGACGTATTTTTGAGTATTTTTATGCCAAAATTTTAGGCCTTTTAGTGGTCCTAATGATGCATCTGTTATTTACAGGTTTATATGAGTAATTAACAGCCCATTACAGCCTATTAATAAGAGGTACGGTATTTCGTGTGATTATTTAGGCGAAGGTATCGGTATTGACTCAAGGCAACAAGTTGATGGAGGAAGAAAAGGAGTGGTTAAGCAGCAGATGTTCCGAATACCATAGCACGATATTGGAATTAAGGAAGTTGAATGTAAGAAATTGGATGTAGGTTGCGTTTGTAAAATCATTTTACAAATTTTCAGAACGAAATGGAATTAAAGCACAAACTCTTCATGAACACAAAAAATGCAGAATTGGATTCAGTGAAGGAAGAACAGGAAGCACTGAACGATCAAATTAAAAAACTCACCGCCCACTCACACCAGTTGAACGAAAAGTTGAAAGCGGTATAGTATTTTTTTAAATCGTAGTTTTCTTAACTATAAGCACGTAATGTACAGTTACTGATCTGAAGTATAAACATCTGCTTTAGAAATGTTAGTTTTTTTATCAGAGAAATAGTCTGTCTCATTCTAGGGTTGGTGGCACCAAGATAAGAGCTTTTTAGTGCAAATAACATTTTAGCGATTGGCAGTGTTTCAGAGAGTTAAGTGCTTTTACTTTAATGAAAACAAAGTAGAAAGACAGCATCAATATTGCTTAAAAAAGAGTTTCAAGCTAGTGATCTTTAACTTGAGATTTCTCACGGGGCAAGACACCCAGAAGGACGGACTGATTGAACTGCGAAAGTATTGTCTACAGTGTTCTAACATGATCTGTTTGTCTCATGATTGGGTAACGGATTTCTTCCCCTCCCTGAAATAGTGATATGTATGTGTTTATTTTTACGACTCTATCTTTACACTTACAGTCACATTCTGCTTACGTATTAATTCAGCGTCTTAGCTAAACCCTTTCATGGATTTTGAAATTTTATTTAACCTTTCGCTGGTTGTTTGACTGTCCTGAAACGATAAACCGAAGTGCACCGTCGCAGTACATTTAGCGTCATAGCGGACGACCGTTTGCTGTTGGTGCAGTAAAAGAAAATAATCGTTAATCACTATATGTTATAGTGTAGTAGTGAAGAGCACATTGTGTCGCGAACATTCCTGCATCCTGATTATGCAATGGCTGACCGTTTTTTATTTCCTCTAATCACAGAACAATTCATACAGTATGAATAAAATCAATATAACCCTATATTAACATGTATTTAAACAAGTGTATTTTAATCTATGCAAACAAAGAACGAACCAACACAAAATAGTTACTTTAAAATAGATCTATCATTTGTGTTATGTTATTGCAGTAATCCTAAACGAAACTGAAAGCATGACAGACAGTATTAAATGGGATCGGGTAAATGTTATTATACTCAATTTTGGCTCAGCGTCATAGTCATATCATGTATTGTTTGACAGTTGTTATTGCTGCCGGTTCAGTGATTAATTTTTTACTTATTTTGCATGAACTAATTATAATATTTCTACAGGTGATCGACGAAAAGATCGTGTGCGAGCAAACTCTAGAAGCCCAGTTGGCGCATCAACGCCAGCTTACTGATAACTATAAGGTATAATTCAGTTTTTCTCTATACTTAATTGTGGTTTTCTGCTTGCTTGTATATTTTGTTCCTTTTTCGTTCTGAGCTCTGAAGTGGTATTCTCGTATTTGCGCTGTTGTGGCTGACTTGCAATTAACAGGGGCAACATCATGTTATGGTGTGGTGGTACCAGAATTGGCAAGTGGTACGGTCATGCTTTCTGAAGCGAACGCTTAATAGGGATGCAATTCGCCTTTACCTCTTTCCTGATGGCTGTTTATTTAATTTGCAGGTGGTTGTACATGTTACGTTAAACATGCTACATTTTATTCAATGCTGGGACCCTAATATTTTGAAATATACGTTCCTGATATAATGACCAGTGGCTTATATATTTTCTGAATGTATTATTTCTGTTCTTCATCGATTAGCTTTTAAGTTAAGGCTTTTAGTCTTTTTACCATTATACCCCGGTACATTCGCTGTACTTCTTTCTCTTCTTGTTAATCTAGTTCTTCCTGTTTGTGATTTTTGTCTTTCACGTCATCTGTAATGTTTTTTACTGTATTATTTTTACTGGGTTACTAGTGAAGCCATCTGCAATTCGCGGACGATATTCTAATCCTTTAAAAAATACTAGAGTACTCCAAAAAATTAAACAGCTGAACGACACCAGCAGCAGAGCAGGGCTGAAAATGGCCCCGAAGGAAACTCATCATGTTTAACAAATAAGGTATTTCATCATGTGCTTAAAGAGATGCAAAACGTCTTTCTCGAACACATAATCTCTTCCTCAACGGAAAACTGATTCTGTGAAATCAACAGGAAATTAAAATTACAAGAATTCCAACGTTTCGATCTGATTGGCATTGGTAATCATCTGGCAATGAGCATGAAACAAAAATAAAATTGCTGGCTCAGTTTGTGCTTGACCCGATTGGTTTGACGTTAGCTCGATCGCCAATTAATCTCTGAATTATGCTCCATGTCGCAGAAATGTCAGTGGAGCCAACGCAACGCCTGTCGCAAAAAAGTGGAGCCAACGCAACCGTCGTTAAGTTCTGCTTTTGCCCGCAGCGATGTCTGTTGACTCCTTGATTAACAGCTTCATCTTGTCTTGGTGTAGATTGACTACCGTTATATCACTGTTGTTTGAGTAATGGCTATTCTCCAAGGCATGATAAACAAAACAAAAATGATCAGCTTTACAATACCTGATGGCCTTAATCTCGTTTTCGACGCTCGACAGATCTTGCCAATACATCAGGTCACAGCTACTACTGCTAGCTAACTGATGGACCTCGGTTTTACTGTCCAAGCTGGGATGAGGATAAGATTTTTGTACAGTAGGTTTTCTATTGTTTTGTCCCTGCAGAAAAATGCATTAAGATCATAGGTTTTTAAATATTGTCTAATTTCCTCGGAAATGCCTGATCTGTGTTGTCGAAATGAAGAAATTACAATCAAAAGAGACGGAACCAAACTTGTTTTATTCAGTTACAGAATCAGTTAAATATTTGGCGTATTCTTTTTTAAGGAAGGTCGTTGAAAGATGCCTGATGGTTTTGTACATGTTCATCATTTGTAGCGGAAGGGTGCGTATTTTGTTAGCTTATTAATGCAGTGTTTTGCAGGAGTCCAGCGAAAGCTACAGTGCAAAACTCATGGAACTTGGTCGTAGAACGCAGCAGCTGCAAGACTTGCTTGAGGCTGCTAAAAAAGGTAGGTCATCAGTTATAAAATGAACTTTCTTTTCGTTTCTTTCCCATTTCACTTTGTCAGTTAAAGTTGTTGACATGTGTTGGAAACAGTGAAATTTATCAAATAAGTCTGAATCAGTGTTGCTCGGGGTAGCTTGCCTGTCAATCTTCCCAGTCCGATTTGCGAATGCCGCAGTGTTCGAAGAATAAACATCTAGTTTTTCATGCGCTTGTCTGAGTATGTAAGAAAACAACTGACTTCCCCAAGATCAGATTTCACGACGTATTGAACCATCCCCCGATCCCTAGTTGCAAAGGGAACATTTAGCCAAGGCACGGATTCATGGCGTTTGAACACCTGCAGTTGTAGAAATTTATGCAGTAATATATGAGCAACACCAGCTCCTGACACGTTGTTCGTGATGAAGGTTAGGTGATTCTAGGGGACAAAATGATGCGAAATGTTTGTGGCACTGCAGGTACTTAAACATTATAAAGCGGCGGTACACTCAAGTGTGCCTCCCATTGGCAGCTAGGAACAAGCGTGTCATATCACCGTGAAATCTGGCCTTGGAGGGGTCAGCCGTTGTTTGAAATGTTCGAAGAACGCATGTGATTTTCTCCTTAATGATAGCCAAGATGTGGAGATTGGCTTCATTAACTAAAGATATTTCTGACTGTTGACATCGTGACATGAATAAGCGCCGTAATATAGGTTATGATTCATTAAAAATGGATCCTACTTATACTGAGCGTATGAGAAGTGTATGAAAACCGATATTTCGAGGGCTTAAACAATCCTTTAATCTTGCAGACGGACTTTTACTTGGATTTATTTTGGTATGGCTTGTTCAACCTAAACGGGTTCAACCTAATGTTTTGTACAACATAATGTTACATGTGCGGAGACAGCCAAGGGAGAAATTTAAACCTGCAGCTCTCATTATTAGCGAGTGCCCCTTTAAAACATACTGCCGACTGACCCTTCATCAAAAAATTATAGCTACTACTCTTAAGCGTCGATGTCACCAGAGCAGCGGAATCGCACAATGAAATTAAAATCTTTTGTTGATATGTTCACCTTTTAAGGACAGTGACTTGTAGTATGCCAACTCATTGACTGTATGCGTGAAAATGGTTGAAAGTCAAATGACTATTCAGAAATCAACTTCGCGGACAAAACTGTATTTGCTTCATCAGGACAAATCCTGAGCCTGCCATTGTATGCAGATACCTCAATGTTGAGCAGGACTGTAGTCAGAAACTTCAAATAGATTTCTCGAATAGAAAATTTCGACTTTCATCCTTCTTACGGTTCAGGCTGGAAACTAATTCTTTCTCAAAAGACTTCAACTTCGTTTCCCTGGCACTGAATTAGTATTAAATTTAGTACATGTCTTCATACTTTGGTATATTTTGCCTGCAAAATGTGCGTACACGTTCATGTTCAGGGTGTCGTACGTAACCTATCATTTTGATTGTTGATAATATGAACATATTCGTTTAAAAATTCAACTCTGATCTTTAGAGTCTGTTGCAGCAAACACGCGAGAAGCATATTTCAAAGAAAAACATGCCAAAGAGTTGGCTGACAAAGGTAACTTAGTTACATGTCAGATGACTCTTTGTCCTATCGTGAAAGCTGTACTTTAGAGA